GTGTGGGGGAGGGAGTTCAGCTCAGAGCCAGGAGCTGAGAGGAAGGGGCGGCCTTGAACCCCGGTCCCCCGAACCCGTGCTCTCTGGGGGTCAACCGCTTCCCTCACGCGGCCAGGGTGGGCTCCGCCTTGCTGGGCGCAGGTACGGGCAGGCGGGCTGGGCCCTGAAGCTGCTCTTGGAGACTGCAGAGGCGCTGAGCGGCCTGCGGGCTCCCTCCTGCCCTGAGCCGGGTCGGGGGATGGGGGACGCGCGCCCCCAGCCCGCGGGAGGGGGGCTGTCCACGACCTGCGGGGCTGCTCGCCTGGGGCGGAAGGGCTGGGCCCGGCGCTGCTCCTGAAGCCGCGAAACCTCTAACACACGACTCATTCTCCCACCTGCTGCGTCCAGGAGCCCCTCAGGGGTCGGAAGCCCGTGCCCGGCCTCAGCCCGCGGGCCTGTGGCCTAGGTCTCGGAGGGGCCTTGCCATCCCCGCCCAGGCCCCGCCATGGAAGCCTTGTCCGCCCCTTGCAGGCCCCTCCCATGAAAGTCATGCACCTGTCCCCAAAGAACCCCGCCCCCATCCCGGTCCCGACCCCATCTCCTGCAAGACCCGGTCCCTGAGGCCGGCGCCACGGCTCACTAGGCTAATCCTCCGCCTAGCGGCGCCGGCACACCGGGTTCTAGTCCCGGTCGGGGGGCCGGATTCTGTCCCGGTTGCCCCTCTTCCAGGCCAGCTTTCTGCTGTGGCCCAGGAGTGCAGTGGAGGATGGCCCAGGTGCTTGGGCCCTGCACCCCATGGGAGACCAGAAGAAGTACCTGGCTCCTGCCATCGGATCAGCGCGGTGCGCCAGCCGCGGCGGCCATTGGAGGGTGAACCAACAGCAAAGGAAGACCTTTCTCTCTGTCTCTCTCTCTCACTGTCCACTCTGCCTGTCCACCAAAAAAAAAAAAAAAAAAAAAAAAACCCTGTCCCTGGAAGCCACTCCCCCATCCCCAGCAGGACTCTGCCCCCGTCAGGGCACTTCTCTTCTCAAGGCCACGCCCCTCGTCCGCACTAGGCCAAGGCTGGGGGGCGTAGCGTAGAGTGATGGCTGCAGAGGTTGAAGGTGGCCCAGGAAACCATCCTGCTCCCTAGCTCCACCACGGGGGGGCCATGTGTTCCGTTCCTAAAAGGGACCCCTGCGTGGGCGACCTAGAGCCGGGCATTAGAGGACGCGGGCTGCCGAGGCAGGGCGTCCAGCCTCACCAGGAGGGTCCCATCGGTGTCATGAGTGGGAGTCTCTGAGGAGGTGGGTGCCCCACGGCCCCTGGGCCAGACCCCTCCCCCCGAGCTGGTGGACGGTGGGCCAGTGCAGAGGGGCACCGTGGCTGCTGCCGTGCCCTGGCACTGTTTGGGGAGCAAATCCTAGGGCGAGGGTGGGACTGCCAGTGGCCAGGGCAGGCTGTGGCCTGAGGACAGAAGCAGAGTGCAAGTGGCACCAGGATTTGGGGAAGGGAGGGGCTGTCCCAGCAGCTGGGCCCTGCAGAGCCCCTGTGGAGATGTCCCCAGGGGGCAGTCTGGGCAGGAGTCAGCTCGGGACGCTGGGGAAGGGTCCACTCTGCTCCTGAAATGGCGTGGCAGCTGTCCCCTGTAGCCTCCAACAGGAAGCCCACTCCTGCGAGGCTGGTGAGGGGATGGGGCGTGACTTTGGGGACAGTGGGGAGCAATGACGTGGGGACCGAGGCTCAGTGGCCAGAGGGGCCCAGCTCCCACAGGTTCAACGGCAACCCTGCAGGTGTGCTGTGACCACGCCAGGGGCCTGGCCCAACAGAGGACAATGTCCAAAGCTGGACCCCTCCACCTGGAGGGCCAGCCTCTGCCCCCGGCCCCTGGTACCAGGCCATCCTGGGACAAAGCTCGGGGCGTTTCTCTTCGGGACCTCGGGAGGTGAGGTGTGTGCACAGGACAGCGGGAGACACAGGGGGAGGTGTCAGGCAGGGCACACGAGGCCTGGGAATGCACCGTGGGGCTCGGGCCCTGGGAACGTGCTGGCACAGGCAGACCGATGCCAGGCGCTGCGACAGAATCAGCCACGGCCATCCGTGCAGCTCTCGTGAGCGTCAGGGTCGAGCTGCGCGAGGCGGGAGGGGAGGTGCAGAACACGGTGTTTCCAGGCAGACAGGCAGAGGAGTCGAGGATGCGTGACAGACCCCCAGGACGCCAGGACGCCCTGCCCGTTCCTGACCCAGGGCCCTGAGTTTGGGGGGAGCTGGGTCCCTAGGAGTCAGGACGCTGGGTCACACCCGTGCCAGGGACCCTGCTGTCCCTCCTCGGAGGGCTCAGGGCCGCTGACCCGGGGAACCAGCATGGTGCTTGGACCTCTGGACGCGGGGATCGAGGTGATGTGAACATCCCCAGGCCCATGGTGCTGCCATGGCTCCCTGCTGGGGGACCTCCAGGGCCAGGCGGCAGGCAGAGTCCGGCCGTGCCCCCTCTCTGAGCAGGGTGGAGCAATGGACACGGTGTCCTTGGCCCCCAGCAGGGGGGCCCAGTGCAGGCACTGGACATCCTGAGGCTCGAGGTGGGGGTGCTCGGGTGGTGGCCCCATCACGTCTCCCTCACTGCGCCGGCCTGACTGCTGTAAGGGCAGGTGGGCCCAGGAGGGGCGTGGCCCCGGTGAGTGAGCACCCGTCTCCCTGCCCGGCTGGGGCTGCACACGCACGCACACTGGCCTCACCCCAGCCTGTGCCAGCAACCACGTCTCACCACCTGACAGAGCCCAAACCCTCCAGGGCCACGGTCCCCTGGGAGCACAGGACACGGCTGTCCTTGCACTGCACACCACTGAGGGACGCCTGGCCCCGGGGACTCTGCTGCGACCAGGCGCAGGGCACACAAAGGCCGGGGCCCCAGGAGCCCGGGGCGGGGCCAGGAGACAGCAGTCAGTCCTTGGTCCCCGGCTGGCACGGTGGGCACTGAACAGAGCGGCGTGGAGCAGCGTCCTTGCCCCCACTCCGCGCGGTCACACCGCGGGGAACCTCGGGCCGCAGTGCGTGCTGCGGCCCCGCGGGTTGGGCTCGCCCACGAAAGGTCTCCCCAGGGAAGCCGGCGGGAGAGCGCAGGATGGGCTGACAGCTGGCCCTGCCCGGGGATGGGCGGGGCCTCTGCAGTGGGCGTGGCCGGCCACGGCCGTCCTCTAGCCGAGTTCTGCGCTCCCGCAGTGCCACCTGCCGGCCCCGCGGCGTCCTGCGGCCTGGGCAGGTGAGCCAGTGCCCGCGTCGGGGACAGCGGCGCAGGGGCCAGTGCTCAGGCCTCCAGAGCCTCTTCCCACACCTGCTTGGAGGGGTCCGGTCCCCCACGGGCCCACCCCCCCCCACTGGGAACGGCTGGGGGTGGCTCCAGAGCGGTCTGAGGTAGGGAGTAGGCTGGGCGCCCCCTCCCCCGGCCACTGAAGCGCGGGCAGAGACCAGCAGCAGAGCGGCCGGCCAGCGGGCACCGCGCCTGACGCCGCCAGCAGGCCCAGGGCGCTCCCTGCGGATGGGGCCAGGGTCCGGGGACTGCGCAGAGCGGCCGGCCAGCGGGCACCGCGCCTGACCCCGCCAGCAGGCCCAGGGCGCTCCCTGCGGATGGGGCCAGGGTCCGGGGGCTGCGCAGAGCGGCCGGCCGGCGGGCACCGCGCCTGACGCCGCCAGCAGGCCCAGGGCGCTCCCTGCGGATGGGGCCAGGGTCCGGGGACTGCGCAAACTGAGGCGGATGCACCCGTGCCTGTCCCGACTACCGTCAATGGTCAATTTTATTATAAAGAATGGTATCAAAATATACAAATCTGTTGAACACTCAAGAAACACGACATTCCTAAGGGCCCCGGCGGCCGGTGGCGCAGAGCCCGGGGCACAGCAGGCTCCGCGGTCCCCACGCGTCACAGGTCCTCACGCAACAGTGGCAGTGGGGGGGTCTCCTCCGTGACCTCTGCGGAAAACAGACAGCTCCCCTGAGGGTCTGGCTGCGGCTGGGACAGCAGCTGCAGCCCGTGGCCTTGGGGACCGTGCCCAGGGCTTGTCGGGACACGGGGCCTCTCCAAAGCCACCGCAGGAGGTGCCGCAGGGGTGCCCCGGCAGGGCTTGTGGCCCTGTCCTCGGGCCTGGTGTTGCAGAGTCCAGCACCGCACTCCTGCACCTGCGGTCACCCCCGCTGACCCACTCAGGGCCTGGAGCACTGGAGCGAACTGTCGCATTCACTCTGGGAACTTCAGCCACTTCCTCTTTGAACACTGCCCCTCTCCCTTCACACTCTTCTAGAACGTCCAAGGGACTGTCGTAGGCCGGGCTGTGTCCCCAGACAGATGCCGAAGTACCCGTGGTACCTCTCCCGATGGTCAGGGTGGTCACCAGGCTGAGCCCCAGTCCGGGGCCAGTGTCCTCACGGCAGCGGAGGGGGATTTGGACACCCAGGGAGCCTCCAGAGCCCCCCGGGGGCCCTCGCAGCCCCCCAGGCCCTCACCGCCCTCTCTGCCCAGCGGGAAGGGGGATACCAGCTCCCAGCACCCCTCACCCCCGGGGGACGCCGGTTCCCAGCTCCCCTCACCCCCGGGGGACGCCGGCTCCCAGCTCCCCTCACCGCCGGGGCAGCCAGGCCACTCACCAGCCGCGGCCATGGGCACACAGGCGTCCTCCGTGTCCCGGAAGCCTTCGGGACACACGCAGACGAAGCTCCCGGGGGTGTTGTAGCAGTTCTCCTTCTCCCTCACACACACTCTCTCTGGTAGCGAGCACTCGTCTATATCTACAACCAGAACGCCCACCTCCAGCAACGTCCCCCCCGCTCATTAGCATCAGGGTCACAGGGCGGCCGAAGGTCAGGCCCAGGCGGTGGCCGGCCTGGGGGAGCCGCACTCACCTGTGCACTGCCCGCCTTCCCTCGTGTAGCCCGCGATGCACTCCTTACAGTTCCCTGGGCCCTTCCCCGTGCAGCCCACGCAGGTGGGGTCACACTCTGGAACCAAGGAGGGAAGTCAACCGCGGACCCCTCCTCACCAGTCACGACCCCGTCTGTGGCCAGGCACACAATGCTCCTGCAGGGCCGTCATGCCGGCAGCAGTGGGGTCCCGGGGGACGCCCAGCTCAAGTGCTGGCTCCTTCCGGCCCCGCCTCCTGCCGCACCCCCAGTGCTGGGACCCACTCCCAGGCTCCTGGCTTGGCCTGGCCCAGCCCTGTCTGTTGCGAGCATCTGGGGAGTGAACCTGCAAATGGAAGACCTCTCTGTGCCTTCCCAGTAAAATCAAAGGAAGAGACAAAAGACAAAACCAAGACCCGACAGTCCTTCTGCTGAAGAAACGGGGTCTGGTGGATTTCTCAAAACAAAACACACCTCACGCTTGGTGGTCTGGGTTGTCTGCCTGCAGGGGGCCCAACGAGAGCTGCGCCCCTGCCCTCCAGGCTTCCGGGCTGCAGCCCAGGCAGAGACCACTGCCAGACCCCTGTGCGAGGGCTGTGGCAGGCCCGGGGGAGCACTGTGTGCCGGCAGTCTCTGGATGTGCGAGGGCTGTGGCAGGCCCGGGGAGCACTGTGTGCCGGCACAGTCTCTGGAGGTGAGAGGGCTGTGGCAGGCCCGGGGGGAGCACCGTGCGCTGGCACAGTCTCTGGAGGTGCGAGGGCTGTGGCAGGCCCGGGGGAGCACCGTGCGCCGGCACAGTCTCTCTGGAGGTGCGAGGGCTGTGGCAGGCCCAGGGAGCACCGTGCGCCGGCACAGTCTCTGGAGGTGCGAGGGCTATGGCAGGCCCGGGGGGAGCACCGTGCGCCGGCACAGTCTCTGGAGGTGAGAGGGCTGTGGCAGGCCCAGGGGAGCACCGTGCACCGGCACAGTCTCTGGAGGTGCGAGGGCCCTGATACACATCCTTCCTTCTCTGAGTCGTTTGGAAGTTAATCCAAAGATGAGGCGTGTTCACGGGTTCATCTCCAGGGCTCGTGGTTCACGATGGTGGGAACACTGTCGAGGTTGGGTCATTCTTTTTGACTTGAGAGGCAGAGAGAGGGACAGAGCTTCCTTCTGCTGGCTCCCCCCACCAGGCCGCCCCTCTGACGGCAGGAGCCAGAGCTGGCCGTCACACCTGGCGCGGCGGCGTAGAGCCGCCAGGCTGCATGCCCACTCCTGTTACGCAGTCCAGGCTGCCGGAGGCGCCAAGGCGCAGCGGGTACAGCCGCGGCTGCAGCGCTGGCGAACCGGGCAAGCAGCACCTCTCCCCCTCCGTAGCGCTTTCAGATAAGTAATACATCTTTAAAAAAGAACTTCCTGAGTTTTCTGCACCACATTTCTGTTCCCTGTGTTGCTACATTCTTTTTAAAGGTAAGACGCTTTCATTTTTGTTTTCACTTTTTTGAAAGGCAGAGTGAGACGTCTTCCATGTCTGGTTCACGCCCCGAAGGCTTATCCCAAGAGTGGCGGGCCAGGCGGAAGCCGGGAGCCAGGAGCTCCATCCAAGTGTCCCCCGTGGGTGGCAGGACCCAAGCATCTGAGCAGTCAGCAGGGAGCTGGGGTCAGGAGTGTGGCTGGGACTCATAGGGGCGGTGGGCACGCCAAACGTCCACCCGGTTCTGTGTCTCAAAGCAGGTGGGACGGACGCCATGCGAGAAGGGACACATGCAAGTCTAGAGGGGGGCGGAAGTGGGACCCCGGCCACCTTCACAGCCGGTGAGGGAAGCGGGACCCCGGCCACCTTCACGGGGTAGGGGGAGGGAAGTGGGACCCTGGCCACCTTCACGGGGGGTGGGGAGGGATGCGGGACCCCTGCCACCTTTGCAGGGGGGGACGGAAGCTGGGACCCCGGCCACCTTCACGGGGAGGGGGGGACGGAAGCTGGGACTCCGGCCACCTTCACTGGGGGTGGGGGAAGCTGGGACCCTGGCCACCTTCACGGAGGGGGAGGGACGCGGGACCCCGGCCACCTTCACGGAGGGGGAGGGACGCGGGACCCCGGCCACCTTCGCAGAGGGGGGACGGAAGCTGGGACCCCGGCCACCTTCGCAGAGCGGGGACAGAAGCTGGGACCCTGGCCCCAAGCCCACCTTCGCATAGGTAGGAGCCACTGACGTTCTCACAGTACTGCGCCTCGCTGCAGGGGGACGCCTCGGCCCCGCACTCGTCCACGTCTGGAACAGAGAGCAGCAGGTGGGTCGGCGGGCGAGGACCCTCGCAGGCCCCCCAAGGCCGGGCAGGCGGGGGCTGGGGGGGACACGGGGAGGACACTCGGGTGCAGGTGCACGGGCACCTCTGCTTCCTCAGGCAGCCCCAGCTCCTGCAGCCCCCCACCCAAACAGGAAGCCAGCTTGGATGAGCCCCTCATGTGCCTGAGGCCAAGTAGCTGCGAGGCCAAACCCAGAGACTTCCAGCAGCGGGACACTGGTGTCAGGAGCCAGCGGCCGGGACGGGGCCCTCAAGGGGTGCCAGTGCAGTGGGGAGGAGGAAAGGCACACAGCCAGCAGCGGCGCCCGGGCCACAGCTCTCACACCCGCCCTCCCCCAGCAAAGCCGGCCCGTGTCAGGGGCGGGGGCGGCCCCAGAACCAGAGCGCGGGGGTTCCCAGGCAGCCGCCTGCAGCCCGGGCTCCTGCAGGGGAGGTCTGTGCCTCCACAGGACGGCTCCTGGGGCCTGCCCGTTGCTAGGCCACGCCCCAACACCACTGTCATGTCTGACAGAGCATACAGCAGCACTCCCCAGTGTGGACGAGTCTGGTTCCAGGGTGAGGGGCAGGGCCGGGACTGCTGGGGCCTGCTCTCCCCAGCAGCCCACGGCCAGGTCTACAGCGGACACACCTGCCTGGCCCCGGGCTCGGGCTCCAGAGCCGACCCCATCCGGTGGTCAGTTACCTCCCCAAACCCAGAATGGGGCAGCGATGGGGAGCTGCGGGCAGTGGGGTGCGGGCTGGGGGAAGCCTGTCCCGGGAGCCCCTGCCCTCCTCACCCACGCAGGCGTCCTGCACGCGCTCCCAGCCCACTTCGCACTCGCTGCAGTGTCGGTTGGTGGGGCCCGAGCAGGTCTTGCAGGACTCGTCACAGGCTGGAAGGCAAAGAGGCCACGTCAGGTCCTTCAGGGAGTCCCCCCAGTCACCCACACAGCCACCACTGTGGCGTCGGCGGCCCACGTCAGAGCACCGGGCCCAGTCCTGGCTGCTCCGCTTCCGACCCAGCTCCCTGCTGATGCGCCGGGGAACAGCAGCAGCCGGCTCAGGTGCTGGGGCCCTGCCCCCACGTGGGAGACCCGGATGGAGCTCCTGGCTCCTGGCTGTAGCAGCCATTTAGAGAGTGAACCAATGGATAAAAAGAACTCTCTCGTCTCTCCCTCTGCCTTTCAAGTAAATAAATAAATAAATATAAGAAAAGAGAAATGGGAAATCCACGTTCTGCTCAAAACCTGAGAGCAGCCCCGGCAGAGCGGGGTCTTGGTTCCCGAGCCAGACTCGAGAACATGTGCTCGTGGTGGCAAAGGCAGCGCCTCCCACGCTGGCCAGCACCAGGCCGGCACACACCACACGCGGACACAGAGGAAGCAGAGCCCGCGGGGAGCGGAACTCTGAGGGCCGTGCGCTTGCTGGCGTTCCAAGGAGAACGTCCCACAGGGCACGACTCTCGGGCTGACACCACACACGCCTGCATGTGCGTGCGGGCTGGCGCACGAGCTTCCTCTCAGCGACACCAGTGGAAAGCCAGCAAACGCGCGCGCCCTCCGACGTGTCGGAGAGCCTGTTTAGGACAGTGCCGCCTGCAGCGTCCCTCCGGGACTGGAACACGCAGTGGAGTTGAGAGGCCGGGCCGCAGCCGAGCTGCTTGCCCTGTGCTGCGTGCTCGCAGCTCAGCTCACAGGGGGGAGTCCCAGGTGGGAAAGCCCTCACCCAAGCCTGGTCCACGTGGCCACGTGACAGGGTCGGGCCAAACAGGACAGCGTGTCCTCAAGGAGGGGCACCGTGCAGAGACCAAGGCCCCCGGGTCTCGCGTGGGGCCGTCGGTCCACCTCGTTTCCTGCCGTGGCATGGCGGGGCTCAGCACTACAAGGTGCTGAGGGACATGGCACGTCCCGCCCTCACACCGCACACAGCGATCCCAGGGCCTACGCCCAGCCGAGGACACCCAGCAGGGCGCTCCAGGGGACAGCTGCTGGAGAGCAAGCCTCCTCCCAAAGCACGCCGGGCAACTGAACACGCTTCCCACGAGGCAGCCGCGTGCAGGAGCCACGAGAACCTCGAAGGGGGGTGGAGCCTGCTGCCCCAGCAACGTGCAGCTCAAAATGGGTTGTTCAGCGACAGGACCACGTCCTCTGTCCCTCCCTTCACGGGTTTCGCAAGGGCCAGTCTTTTGGCCACCTGAGGCCAGGAGGCCAGTGTCGTGCGCAGCAGGTTAAGCTGCGGCTGTGACGCCTGCGTCCCACGTGGGAGTGCTGGTTGGGGTCCTGGCTGTTCCACTTTTTTCTTTTTTAAGATTGACTTATTTGAAAGTCAGAGTTACACAGAGAAGAGAGGCAGAGAGGCAGAGAGGCGAGAGAGAGAGAGAGAGAGAGAGAGAGAGACAGGTCTTCTATCCGCTGGTTCACTCCCCAATTGGCCTCAATGGCCAGAGCTGCACCCCATCTGAAGCCAGGAGCTTCTTCCAAGTCTCCCACATGGGTGCAGGGGCCCAAGGACTTGGGCCATCCTCCACTGCTTTCCCAGGCCAGAGCAGAGAGCTGGATCAGAAGTGGAGCAGCCAGGTCTTGAACCAGCGCCTATATGGGATGCCGGCACTTCAGGCCAGGGCGTTAACCTGCTGCGCCACAGTGCCGGCCCCTGTTCCACTTCTGATACAGCTTTCTGCAATTGTGCCTGGGAAGGCAGCAGAAGATGGCACAAGTACTTGGGCCCCCGGCATCCAGGTAGGAGACCAGGATGAAGTCCCTGGCTGCTGGCTTTGGCCTGGCCCAGGCCTGACTATTGCTGCCATTTGGGAGTGAACCAGTGGATGGAAGGTCTGTCACTATGCCTTTCAAATAAAGTGAGTAAATCTTAAAAACAGAGATCAGCGCTGTGGCATAGTGGGTAAAGCTGATGCCTGCAGTGCCGGCATCCCAAATGGGCACTGGTTCGAGTCCTGGCTGCTCTAGTTCTTTTATTTATTTATTTATTTAATTTATTGGACAGAAACACACAGAGACAGAAAGATCTTCCTTCCGTTGGTTCACCCCCAAAATGGCTGCCACGGCCGGCGCTGTGCCAATCCGAAGCCAGGAGCCAGGTACTTCCTTCTGGTCTCCCATGCGGGTGGCAGGGCCCAAGCACCTGGGCCATCCTCCACTGCCCTCCCTGACCACAGCAGAGAGCTGGACTGGAAGAGGAGCAACCGGGACTAGAACCGGCGCCCATGTGGGATGCCAGTGCCACAGGCGGAGGATTAACCAAGTGAGCCACGATACTGGCCCCTGCTCTAGTTCTGATCCAGCTCTCCATGGCCTGGGAAAGCAGTAGAAGATGGCCCAAGTGCTTGGGTCCCTGCACCCACGTGGGAGACCCGGAGGAAGCTCCTGGCTTCAGATCAGCTCAGCTCCACTGTTGCGGCCCTCTATGGAGTGAACCAGCAGATGGAAGACCACTCGCTCTTTCTGCCTCTGTTACTCTTTCAAATAAATGGATAAGTCTTTAAAACAAACAAACCAAAACCACCACCACACACACACACACACACACACGCGCGCGCCGCGCGGAACAGACCTCACCTGTGCAGACGCTGTGGGTCTCGTTCCTCAGCGAGCTGAAGTAGCCGTCCGCACAGTCAGTGCACAGCGGCCCCTGGTACCCCACGTGGCACTGGCAGGACCCGTCCCCCTGCCTGCTGCCGTCTCCGTCGCAACGGCCGTTTCCACTGCAGGGCCTCTCGGAGCCGCCCTGGCACTCTTGGGGGGACACAAACCCATCCTCAGCCCACCCCTGTACCTGGGCGGGGCTCTGGGGAGACCTCCTGGGCCTGCAGGGCTGGGGTGGATGGTGCCACTCGGGGTGGCCCTGGGCAGCCTCCCCGGAAACACAGGGCAACGTAGGACAGCGTGGGGCGCGATGGCCTTGGCCACTGTGTCTCACATGCCACCAGGGAGAGCCAGAGAGGTATGCGGCGGGCATTTGTGGCCAATGGGGAGTGTCTGAGCGGCAGACTGCCCCTTGATCCACGCTTCCTCGTGGGAGAAGCCAGACACGCGGCAGGGCTCAAGACCGCGTGCCTAGCCCTGGGCGCTCTACAGGGTGGTCTGCACGGATGTGTGGGCAGAGCTGTGAGGATGGCAAGGCATGCTGCCGGGAGCCCACGCCGCTGCACACGGAGGGCCGTGCCCAGCAGGCTGGTCAGGACACAGCCTCAGAGGGCAACGGCGAGTCCCTCCCCACCCCCAATCCTGACAGGAAAGCAGGACGGTGCGGGGCTGTGGTCTCCGGGTGTGACAGGAGTACCAGTGTGGGGCTGTGGAGTCCCGGGTGTGACAGGAGGGACAGTGTGGGGCTGTGGAGTCCCGGGTGTGACAGGAGGCACAGTGTGGGGCTGAGGACCCCGGGTGTGACAGGAGGGACAGTGTGGGGCTGTGGTCCCCGGGTGTGACAGGAGGGACAGTGTGGGGCTGAGGACCCCCGGGTGTGACAGGAGGCACAGTGTGGGGCTGAGGACCCCGGGTGTGACAGGAGGGACAGTGTGGGGCTGAGGACCCCGGGTGTGACAGGAGGCACAGTGTGGGGCTGAGGACCCCGGGTGTGACAGGAGGGACAGTGTGGGGCTGAGGACCCCGGGGAGTGACAGGAGTGACAGTGTGGGGCTGAGGACCCCGGGGAGTGACAGGAGTGACAGTGTGGGGCTGTGGAGTCCCGGGTGTGACAGGAGGGACAGTGTGGGGCTGAGGACCCCGGGTGTGACAGGAGGGACAGTGTGGGGCTGAGGACCCCGGGTGTGACAGGAGGGACAGTGTGGGGCTGAGGACCCCGGGTGTGACAGGAGTGACAGTGTGAGGCTGAGGACCCCGGGTGTGACAGGAGGGACAGTGTGGGGCTGAGGACCCCGGGTGTGACAGGAGGGACAGTGTGGGGCTGTGGTCCCCGGGTGTGACAGGAGTGACGGTGTGAGGCTGAGGACCCCGGGTGTGACAGGAGTGACAGTGTGGGGCTGTGGAGTCCCGGGTGTGACAGGAGGGACAGTGCGGGGCTGTGGTCCCCGGGTGTGACAGGAGGGACAGTGTGGGGCTGTGGAGTCCCGGGTGTGACAGGAGTGACAGTGTGAGGCTGAGGACCCCGGGTGTGACAGGAGTGACAGTGTGGGGCTGTGGAGTCCCGGGTGTGACAGGAGTGACAGTGTGGGGCTGTGGAGTCCCGGGTGTGACAGGAGGGACAGTGTGGGGCTGTGGAGTCCCGGGTGTGACAGGAGGGACAGTGTGGGGCTGAGGACCCCGGTGTGACAGGAGGGACAGTGTGGGGCTGAGGACCCCGGGTGTGACAGGAGTGACAGTGTGGGGCTGAGGACCCCGGGTGTGACAGGAGGGACAGTGTGGGGCTGTGGTCCCCAGGTGTGACAGGAGTGACGGTGTGAGGCTGAGGACCCCGGGTGTGACAGGAGTGACAGTGTGGGGCTGAGGACCCCGGGTGTGACAGGAGTGACAGTGTGGGGCTGTGGAGTCCCGGGTGTGACAGGAGGGACAGTGTGGGGCTGAGGACCCCGGGTGTGACAGGAGTGACGGTGTGGGGCTGTGGACCCCGGGTGTGACAGGAGTGACGGTGCGGGGCTGTGGTCCCCGGGTGTGACAGGAGTGACACGTGGGGCTGAGGACCCCGGGTGACAGGAGTGACGGTGCGGGGCTGTGGTCCGGGGAGTGACAGGACAGCTGCACGTGGCCGTACCGTGACAGTGGGGGCCGTAGGTCCCTGGAGAGCAGCACACTTGTAGCGTCTGCACGCAGAACCACTCCTGCAGGTCGGGGTGCTCCTTCTTCCTGGGACGGCAGACACAGCCCTCAGCGTCCCGTGAGTGACAGATGGCAGCAGGGCTCTCCGCCGGGCGCACCCCCTGCAGCCGCGGACAGCCCTGAGCCCTGCCCGGCACACCCACGCCCACGCTGGGCTCGCACGGCCGGCCGAGTGTGCTCGCTCCCTCTCAAGGCCGCCAAGACAAATATTAGTATTCTCAACCGCGCTGACCACGTGACTCCCGCCGGGACAGAGGGGGCCACCCCACGCATCACAGCATCTGGGAAGGGACTCTGGTTAGCCGCCTGGCGTGGAAGACGGTGGCATACGGGCCAGAGAGGCAGGCTGGTGCCCACGCCCGTGCGCCGGCGGCTCGGGGTGGTGCCCATGCCCATGCGCCGGCGGCTCGGGGTGGTGCCCACGCTGTGTGCCGGCGGCTCGGGGTGCCGTCCACGCCGTGTGCTGGCCACGCCGGCCGGCCCGCGGCACTCACAGCTGCAGCCACCAGGCCTCCAGGTGCTCCTCGTGCTCCTCCACCATCTGGTTGCACTCGAAGTCGCTGCTCCCACACAGGCCCTCCACGATCTCCAGGAAGCGGATCTCACTGGAACACAAGCGGGAAGTGGGGACCCCGACCCACGGCCCGGTGGGCGGCGGGGGCCACAGGTGGGCCCGGGCTGCGGGGCAGGGCGGCAGCCGGGAGGGTCGGGGCCAGGACACGGGCGCACAGGTGCTCGGGCCACGCACCTGAACTCGTACTTGGACAGCGTCTTTTCCTCCCAAGCCGTGTTCCCGCCGCCGAAGTTCTTGTTCGCCGTGTCCGCCATGCCCTGCCGGAGAAGGTGCGCTCGGGCTGGGCACCGCCCAACCTCCACCCCGGAGCCGTGTGCGGCGACCCCGGGCCGCGGTGTGGGCGACCCCCGCCTCAGGACTCGGGGAGCACCTGCTTGAGCCTGCCCGGCCCCCTCCTCAGCCGTCCGGGCGCTGCTGCTCGAGCCCGCCCGGCCGGCCCGGCCCCCTCCTCAGCCCTCGAGGGACACCCGCCTTCACCTGCCCACCGGCCGCCCCTCCCCAGCTCTCCGGGCGCACCTGGTTGAACTTGTCCACCAGCCCCCGGCACCGCTGACAGGGCGTCGGCTTCCGAGAGGCTTCCAGGGCGGCCAGCGGCGGCGGCAGCAGGAGCAGCGGCAGCAGCAGCCACCCCGGCGCAGCCCAGGGCGGCGGGCGCATGGCGGGGCCGACGCGGACTCAGGTCCTGCGGCCCAGCGGCTCCGGCCTCCGCCGCCCACCGGTCCCGAGCGCGCCGGCCGTTCCCCGGGCTACTTGATGGCGTTGTCGAGGCCCCGCCCAGCGGTCGAGTCCCGCGCCGCGATTGGGTTCTCGGATCCGCCCCGTCCTGACGTGGACCAATCCGGGCTCGCCACGAGCGGCGACCAATGGGAAGGCCCCGGGTCAGCGTCCTCCCGGAAGGGCCGGGGGCGGGGCCCGGGAATCCGAGCCCACCTCCTCGCCCCGCCCCTCCCGCGGCGCCGTCTCGGGGGCCATCTTTACTCCTGGCGGCCAGGCCGCCCCGCGGCCGCATCCTGGGTGGCCATGTCATGTTCGGGCAAGGGCTTCGCCTCTGTTCTGTTTCGTCACTCTGCTTCCGGCTGAGCTGACCAGACGGCCGCGCTAGAGCGGACGGCGCCGAAGGCGGGAAAGGTCAGCACGCGCAGCCGGGGCTGGGTCGAGGATGGCGTGGGGGGCCGCTCGCCGTGGGGCCGGACCTCTCCTGAGGGCCGGGCTCCGCCCCTGGGCCGCGGGCGTGCGGGCCCCGGTGCACCTGAGAGGAAGGCGCCCCAGCCTTCGGGACCCGGGTTCCGGGAGGGGTCGGCGAGAGCGGGGACCACGCTTGGAGGTTCGGCTGCTTGCGGTGGCGGCGCGGTGCGCGTGGCAGTGCCGGGTCCCCGCGTTCGCCGCCCCCGGAAGTCGCGCGCGGGGCGCGGGGCGCGGGGCGCGGGGCGCGGGGCGCGGGGCGCGGGGCGCGGGGCGCGGGGCGCGGGGCGCGGGGCGCGGGGCGCGGGGCGCGGGGCGCGGGGCGGCCGCCGCAGCCCCCGCCAGGGTCCCCGCTCTGCCCTCCTGGGGATCTGGGCGCTCGCGTGTCCGTGAGGAGACGGCTGGGGTGGTGCCGGGCGCCTCCTGGGCCTGGCGCAGCCCTGGTCGTCGCGGCCGGCTGGGGCGGGAACCAGCGGTGGGAGAGCTGTCTTCCATCTCTCTCTCTGTAGCTCTGCCATTCAAGTAAATAAAAAATAAACGTTAGAAGGATGAACATCTGAAGTTGCGAGGGCGCCTGTCCGCTTTCCTCCCCGGCCCACGCGACCGCGGCCGACCGGCTCGTCCCTGCTGTCCTGGGCAGGTGCAGGCGTGCGACTCCAGCCGCGACCGGTGAGTACGGCGGCCCCCTCTCCCGTGGCCTCCGGGCCGCTGCTTTCGACGGAAGAAGGTCCAGTCCGCCCGAAGAGAACTCGGCGGCGTGGAGACTTGCTGCCCGGGCCCAGCCTCCGCGGGCGCAGGGCGAGGTCAGCGCCGGCGGCCTCCACCTGGCTCTGGCCCAGCTCCCCCGTGGGGCTCAGCTTGCCCCTTGGGGCCTGGCGCGGAGTCAGCTTCCCGTGTGGGACCTGGTCAGGCGTGGCCGCAGCGAGCTGCCTGGCTCCCCCTTCAGGTGCTCACGCTCGGCGCCCACCTTCGGTCCCCCAAGGCCTGCCGCGAAAGCCCCCCATGGCTGGGAAGCGGTCGGCGGGCAAGCAGCCGCTGCTGCTGGGGCTGCTGCTGTCTGCGGCCGCCGCCCACCTCCTCACCTGTCCCTACACCAAAGTGGAGGAGAGTTTCAACCTGCAGGCCACGCACGACCTGCTGTTCCACCGGCTGGACGTGGACAAGGTGAGGCGCGGCTGCCGCCCGGGGGGTGGGGAGCGCGTGGGCCCCTCCCGGGCCCAGCTGAGTGGCCTCCCTTGCAGTTCGACCACCACGAGTTCCCCGGCGTGGTCCCCAGGACGTTCGTCGGGCCGCTGCTGCTGGCGGCGCTGTCCAGCCCCGCAGTCTGCGTGCTCTCGCTGCTGGAGGTGTCCAAGTTTTACTCTCAGCTCGTAGGTAAGGGTCCCTCGTGGCCGGAGCGGAGGACCGAGGTGGCTGCCGGCTGTGTCTGTCCCACCTGCTCAGGCGTGTGTGTGCAGCCGAGGGTCAGGGAGGGAGCCGAGGAAGCAGGCCGGGGCACACAGGGCGCCTCGCACCTGGCGAGAGGCACCGACCGGAGCAAGCCGCCCACGGGGCCAGCGCCCAGGTGCAGAGGCCTCGCGCTCCCAGGGGCTGTCACCACTGCCCTGCGTGTGCAGATCCTGCCGGGCCCTCCTCCGTCCCCAGGTCCTTTAGCTTGGACTGAGACGTCCCCACGCCGTGCCGCGGCCGGGGCTTGCGGCGCAGTCTCCGTCCTTGCATCTCGGGACTCCACTGCCTCCAGGCCCCAGGCCGCATCCCGGTTTCCCCGACTGACCCTGCGCCCTGCTGCTGGGAGCTTCCGGAAGCCCAGACGGGGGAGCAACGTGCGGGCCGGCCCGGCGCCCGTCCACCTCTGCTCGCGGGAGGCAATGGGGAGGCTGGGCGCTGGACAGAGCCAGCCGCTGCAGGGTCTGGAGTCACGGTGACCCCGGCCCCTGCCCGAGGCCAGGAAAGTTCCTCCGAGGACCGAGCCAGTCACCGTCCAGCACTGAGGGAGAGGCAGGCGCCAGGGAACGTGGGAGCAGAGGACACCCCAGGGTGCGGGGTCGGACCCCCCCATCACCCCCCAGGCGGAGAGGGGCGGAGGCGCTCCAGGGCGCCGTGTGCTGGCAGGAAAGGGCTGGAGCGGGGCCTCAGCAACTTGAGAGGCCCGCTCGGGACCCCTGCGTCTGAACGCGGCCGGGCGAGGAGAGTCCCAGTGTCCGGACTGGGTCTGCGCCCGTGCGTCCCAGGGTCAGCGCTGCCCCCAGCAGGGTCCGTCTCCACGGCGGCCGACCGGGCACCCTGCTGTGCTGCCTGCGGCAGCAGCTGAGGCCACCAGGCCTGCCAGGCACCGTGCTGAGTACCCGCCCCCCGCCTCGCCTCACCGGCTCCGTCTGCCCCTGGGAGCCTGTGTTTCCATCTGGCCTCCTCGGTTGTGGGCGGGGCCGGGTCTGAGTCGGGCGCTCTCTTGCACGGCCCCTCAGACGTCACACGGCCCGAGCCGTGCCACCTTGGCTGCCGCGTGGCTCCTCCCCCAGCCCCACCTGAGCCGGCGCGGCTCCCCCCAGCGCAGGCCAAGGGCCCCTCTTGTACCAAGCATGATGTCACCTGGCTGTCACGTGGCTGTCGCAGGGGACGCACGGGCAGAATCTCTTGGCTTCTGTGGCCTCAGCACTGCAGGGTCACGCGTGTTGCTCTTCTTGTTTAGTTAGAGGTGCCCTTGGGCTTGGCGTCATCTGGGGACTCTGGTCGCTACAAAAAGAAGTGAGACGGCAGTTCGGGGCCACGGTGGCCACCCTGTTCTGCTGGGTGACGGCCTCGCAGTTCCACCTGATGTTCTACTGCACACGGACCCTCCCCAACGTGCTGGCCCTGGCCGTGGGTAGGTGCTGGGAGGGGCTCCCCTGAAGCCCAGCTTGGGGTCGTCTGTGCTCCTTGCCTCCACGCCAGCTCTGGCCTGTGTGGACAACCGCGCCTCCACGCCAGCTCTGGCCTGCGTGGACAACCGGCCTCACACCAGCTCTGGCCTGCGTGGAGAAGCGCGCCTGCACGCCAGCTCTGGCCTGCGTGGAGAAGCGCGCCTCCACGCCAGCTCTGGCCTGCGTGGAGAAGCGCGCCTCCACGCCAGCTCTGGCCTGCGTGGAGAAGCGCGCCTCCACGCCAGCTCTGGCCTGCGTGGAGAACCGCGCCTCACACCAGCTCTGGCCTGCGTGGAGAACCGCGCCTGCACGCCAGCTCTGGCCTGCGTGGAGAAGCGCGCCTCCACGCCAGCTCTGGCCTGCGTGGAGAACCGCGCCTCACACCAGCTCTGGCCTGCGTGGAGAAGCGCGCCTCCACGCCAGCTCTGGCCTGCGTGGAGAACCGCGCCTCACACCAGCTCTGGCCTGCGTGGAGAAGCGCGCCTCCACGCCAGCTCTGGCCTGCGTGGAGAACCGCGCCTGCACGCCAGCTCTGGCCTGCGTGGAGAAGCGCGCCTCCACGCCAGCTCTGGCCTGCGTGGACAACCGGCCTCACACCAGCTCTGGCCTGCGTGGAGAAGCGCGCCTGCACGCCAGCTCTGGCCTGCATGGAGAAGCGCGCCTCCACGCCAGCTCTGGCCTGCGTGGAGAAGCGCGCCGCCCTGCTGAGCGGGGCTTTATAATAAGAAAAGGAGTCGCCCTTGGTTTGCAGGGTGCTTGTGAGCTGGGGTGGTCGCTGGGCGGCGGGGGCGCCCGCCGGCCTCACAGCCCCGTGTCTTGCAGTCCTGCCGGCCCTCACGGCCTGGCTGCGGCACAGGTGGGCCCGCTTCGTCTGGCTCTCGGCTTTCGCCATCATCATCTTCAGGGCGGAGCTGTGCCTGTTCCTGGGCCTCCTGTTGCTGCTGAGCCTGTACACCAGGAAGCTCTCTGTGGCCAGACTGCTGCAGCACGCCGTCCCGGCCGGCAGCCTCTGTCTCGGTCAGTCTTGCTTGGTCGGCCTCCTTCTTCAAAGACGGGAGGGGCCTGGGAGTGGTTTTGTTTCGCCCCGACTCTGAGAAGTAGTAGAACGCCTAGGGTGCAGTGGTCAGGCGGCACGCAGACAGCCCACCCCACGCCACAGCGCCTGGTGTGAAGTCAGCCAGGTGCCCCGTGCTGCCCTGCAGCGGCAGCCCCCCCGCCCTGGGTGCCTCCGTCCATCCGTCTGTCCTGTGCCATCCGTCTGTCCTCTGTCCTCTCCCACCACGGGCAGACCGTGGCAGCGGCAGCGCGGCTGTCCCCACGCTGGGGCCGGGGCGCTGGCTCTGGAAGATGCTTGCTTGGGAAGCGGTGACCCCAACCAAACCGGCTTCTCCCACGTGGCACTGGCTGGTGGTTTCTGTGGCAACCGTGGGTTCTGGGGGGGGGGAGCACTCACTCACGGCTTGGGGTTGCTTGGCAGCAGCCGGTCTCAGCCCTCCAGGGGCCGTGCTGTTCACCGAGGACTCCGGTTTTGTCAGGGCTGACGGTCGCCGTGGACTCCTGTTTCTGGCGGCATTGGGTGTGGCCGGAAGGAAAGGTGTTGTGGTACAACACCGTCCTGAACCAGAGCTCCAAGTGGGGCGTATCCTTTGAGCCTGTGGACGGAGGGTGGCGGGCGTGGGACTGTCAGCTCCCAGCCTGGCTTCCTGGGGCACGGGGGGCTGGTGTGGACGGGGCAGCTTCCGTAGGGTCGGGACGGAGTCCCCTTCCTTGTTCCTACCGGGGAGTCGCTGGGCCACGGGGCGAGGCCCCGCTGCTGGTTCTGCCCAGACGTCCCAGCATCTCCTTTAGCCGTCATCATAAATCTCATTTTTCTTTTTTTTAAGTTTTTTTTTTTTTTTTTTTTTGACAGAGTGGATAGTGAGAGAGACAGAGAGAAAGGTCTTCCTTTTGCTGTTAGTTCACCCTCCAGTGGTCGCCATGGCTGGTGTGCTGCAGCCAGTGTACCGTGCTGATCTGAAGGCAGGAGCCAGGTGCTTCTCCTGGTCTCCCATGGGGTGCAGGGCCCAAGCACTTGGGCCATCCTCCACTGCACTCCCGGGCCACAGCAGAGAGCTGGCCTGGAAGAGGGGCAACCGGGACAGAATCCAGCGCCCTGACCGGGACTAGAACCCGGTGTGCCGGCGCCGCAAGGTGGAGGATTAGCCTAGTGAGCCACGGCGCCGGCCTTAAGTTTATTTTATTTGAAAGGGAAATAGAGAATGAGAGACAGTGAGAGAGCTCTTGCATTCACTGCTTCACTCCCCAGATGGCTGTACAGCCAGGGCTGGGCCAGGCCACAACCTGAGGGCCAGGAGCTTCCTCCTGGTCTCCCACATGGGTGCAGGGGCCCAAGCACTCGGGCCGTCCTCCACTGCTTTCCCAGGCCACAGCAGAGAGCTGGATCAGAAGTGGAGCAGCCGGGACTCCAACCGGCACCCACATGGGATGCCGGCACTGCAGGTAGAAGGCTTAGTTAACCTTGTACGCTACAGCGCCAGCCTAGATGCAGGTAGAAAGAACAGCGTAGTAAACCCAGACGCAGGTCACCCTGGTGATGTCTCCACCGTGGGCGGGAAGAGACGCAGCTCTCCGCGTGGCTATGTGCGGATGTGTGCGCGTCCTGGTCTCCCCTGGAGGGCTGGCCTGAGGCACGAGTTAGGTCCCGACACCTGTGAGGGGTCGCCACTGTGTTTTTTGTTTTTTTGAGTTTATTTGAAAGAGCTGCTGAGAGAGGGAGAGACGGAGAGAGAGATCTTCCATCTGCTGGTTCACTCCCCAGATGGCTGCGGAGGCAGGGGCTGGGCCAGGCTGGAGCCGAGACCCAAGAGCTTCATCGGGGCCTCCCACCCGGGTAGCAGGGGCCCAAGCACTCAGGCTATCCCCTGCTGCTTTCCTAGGCCATTCGCAGGGGGCTGGATCGGAAGTGGAGCAGCCGGGACACAAACTGGTGCCCACGAGGGATGTGGCGTCACAGGCGGCAGCCTCGCCCCCGTGCCACAGCGCTGGCCCCCGCACTGTCAGACAGCACGGCCATCCACGCTGTGTCTTAGCACGGCCGTCCCCGCACTGTGTCTTAGCACGGCCGTCCCCGCACTGTGTCTTAGCACGGCTGTCCCTGCACTGTGTCTTAGCACGGCCGTCCCCGCACTGTGTCTTAGCACGGCCGTCCCCGCACTGTGTCTTAGCACGGCCGTCCCCGCACTGTGTCTTAGCACGGCCGTCCCCGCACTGTGTCTTAGCACGGCTGTCCCCGCACTGTGTCTTAGCACGGCCATCCACGCTGTGTCTTAGCACGGCCGTCCCCGCACTGTGTCTTAGCACGGCCGTCCACGCTGTGTCTTAGCACGGCCGTCCCCGCACTGTGTCTTAGCACGGCCGTCCCTGCACTGTGTCTTAGCACGGCTGTCCCCGCACTGTGTCTTAGCATGGCCGTCCCCGCGCTGTGTCTTAGCACGGCTGTCCCTGCGCTGTGTCTTAGCACGGCTGTCCCTGCACTGTGTCTTAGCACGGCTGTCCCCGCACTGTGTCTTAGCACGGCCGTCCCTGCACTGTGTCTTAGCACGGCCGTCCCCGCACTGTGTCTTAGCACGGCTGTCCCCTCACTGTGTCTTAGCACGGCCGTCCCTGCACTGTGTCTTAGCACGGCCGTCTTCGGGGCCTTCTCGGCTCTGGTTCCACTGAGTAGACACCATGGACTCCTTAACCCTCGCCTGAAGACTGCCCCCCTCCTGTGGTATTTCTACTCCGCCCTGCCCCGGGGCCTGGGGTGCAGCCTGCTCCTCGTGCCGCTGGGCATGGTGGACAGAAGGGCCCGGGTGCTGGCTCTGCCCAGCCTGGGCTTTGTGGCGCTGTACTCGCTCCTTCCACACAAAGAGCTGCGGTTCATCCTCTACGCCTTCCCCGTGCTCAACATCGCGGCTGCCAGAGGCTGCTCCTACCTGTGAGTCCCTCTCTGGCGTGTGTCTCTCCTAAGCAAAGCCGAGAAACGCTCAAGGAGGCGGCGCTGGGCCGTGGCCGGGACAGGCAGTGGTGACTGCCTTGTCGCCTGTCCCTGGGGCAGGGACGCCTGCACGGGGAGCTGGGCAGGCCTGTGTGGTCTGTCCCCAAGGCCGTCCTCTGGGGAGGCTGGGGACCAGCTGAGGAGACAGGACAGGGTGGTGCTCTTGGTGTGGGACCCTGTGGAGGGTGCCAGGTGGGGCCCAGTGGCTGAGTGTGGTCATTGTCCAGGGGGCCGGGATGGCCCGTCACTGCTCATCTCTGGATGTGGGGCCTGTTCAGGACCCAAAGTGTTGGTGGGGGCTGGGGTCCCGGGAGGGTCCCCTCAGGCTCAGAGGCACCCACCCTGTCTGGGAGAAGCCCCCACAATGGGCCCTAGGAAGCAAGGGGCAGCCAGGTGCCCTGAGTCCCTTGCTGCCCCCAGAACCCCTGTTGGAGGGCGGGGCTGCACGTCTTGCCGCGCTCAGGCTGGGCACCCGCAGCTCTGCCCTTCTGCTCCTTGCCGGCTGCCACACTGAGCTCCATCCAGCCAGTCCTAACAGAGTCTGCCTTTTGGCTGCCTCCCGTCTCGGGTCAGCTCAGGCCTGGACAGGTGTAGATCTGGCCCGAGTCATGGGAGGGCTGTGGTGCCTGCCGGACATAATGGAAGCCAGATGTGAGCGAGCAGTGAGGAGGGACTGTCCTCAGTAACGGACAGGGCCCAGTCGCGTCTCGGCCTTTTGGCTAAGATCAAGTGTAGTGACGGCAGGGCCTGGCACCCAGCAACTCGGCCACGAAGCCAGGGGCAGGAGAGGCTTCTGAAGCTGGGGCTGGAACAAGGCCCGCAGGGTGGGTGGTGGGCCAGCGCCTCGCGGGCAGAGGAAGGCGCTGGGATTGGCAGCTTTGTGAGGTAGCGGAGTCCCTGCAGGCCAGGCTCTCAGGCAGGGGCCACCCTAGGGGTGTGGCCACCCTAGGGGTGAGGCCTGGAGCTCCCAGAGTTTGTTCAAGTCCTTGGGTCTGGGTGGGAATGGGGAGGACAAACCGTTTGTGTTGAAATCTGAGGATTTTATGGGCCAAGGTCCAGCCCCAGTCGATAGAGGGCTCAGAGAGCCTGGCCAGTGTGGTCAGGGTCAGCGGCAAGTTCAGGCCTCAGTTGGCCTCCTGAGGAGGGCCAGATGTACGCGTTGGCATCTCTGGGGGCAGAAATCACCCATTGGTGTGGGGCGGGAACCGCCTGGGCCGTGTCCCAGCAACGTCGGTCAGCTGGGTGTGGTCATGGGCGGTCCTGCATCACAGACGGTAACTCGGGATTGGTTGGAAATACTTTGTTGAAAATCTAATGTAACGTTTAAATTGGCATCTTGGGTGGAATTTCATAGTCGAAATTCTTAAGGTGGCATTTCAGGCACACGGTGGATTGCTCCTGTCTGGCAGTCAGCCTCGCTGTGGAGCCGGCCTGTGGGTCTGTGCTCACGGCCTGGCTTCCGGTGTGACCACACTGCCGGCTTCTCTTCATCGAGTGGAGTCGCTGTGTTTGCAGGCTGAACAATTACAAGAAGTCTTGGCTGTACAAGGCGGGGTCCCTGCTTGTGATCGGACACCTCGTGGTCAATGCCATGTACACGGCCACGTCCCTCCACGTGTCCCATTTCAACTATCCTGGTGGCGTTGCGATGCAGCGGCTGCATGAGCTGGTGCCCCCCAGGACAGGTTGGTGCCAGAGGCATCGCCCGGGACCAGCCACAGGCTGGCCGAGGTGCGGGTGCTGGCTCTCATGGGCTGTGCTTTCCCCAGATGTACACGTGCACATCGACGTGGCCGCCGCCCAGACAGGCGTGTCACGGTTCCTGCAAGTCAACAGCGCCTGGAGGTCTGTCTCCCAGAGGCCACGTGCGGGTCCCCCAAGGGCTCCTGGGGGCTGGGGCGGGGGCGGCCCGGGGCTGGGGCGGGACAGTCTGGCTCATCTCTTGCAGCTATGACAAGAGGGAAGACGTGCGGCCGGGCGCCGCGGGCATGCTGACCTACACACACCTGCTCATGGAGGCCGCGCCTGAGCACCTGGCCCTCTACAGGGACACACACCGGGTCCTGGCCAGCATCCTGGGCACCACAGGCGTGAGTCTGAACCTGACCAAGGTGCCGCCCTTTGACGTGCACCTGCAGACAAAACTGGTGCTTCTGGAGCGGCTCCCCAGGCCGTCCTGAGGGAGAGCCCGGCAGCCCTACCTGGGCACGGCTGTGCTGTTTCCTGCAGCAGCCGAGATCAGAGAACAAATCAAAGAAGCACGAACGCGGCCCATGCGCGCGAGGCTGGGTCTCTGGACGGAGGGGCCTGGGTCACGCAGGTGTCTTGGGAGCCACAGCCAAGGTTGACAGTGGCTGCTTAGACTCCTGTGTGTGGCCAGGGTGGACCACAGAGTCACTTAGCATTCAGGGACGACTCTGACGATTCAGGGGACGGTGCTGGGGCGTGGCCGTCCCAGGAACCCCGGCCGCAGGCTGCCGCCGCCCTGCCCACTGCGCCAGGCTTGCTGCCCTGCTGGCTGCAGGTCCCCTGGGAGATCACGGGACAAACCTGGACGCCCCTCGGCTGCTGCAGCTCGTATGTGCACAGCAGGGCAAGCTCCAGTTCAGATTAGGTTTCAAGAGAGGAAACACGTTGAAAAAAGAATGGGAATAAATGGACTTTCTACGCAGTGTCGTAGTGTGGTGTTAGCCCAGAGCCTGCCTTACCCAGGTGTCATCAAGGGGAGCTAGCACTGAAGCACCGCGTGGGTGTGTGACACTGCCGGCACAGGCACACACGTGTGCACTGCACACACCAGCACCTTCGAGTCACGAGCACTCAGGGTGGCTTCCTGGCAGTCAGCACTTCCTCCGCCACCAGCGAGTGTCAGCCGCCCCCTTTGCAGCCGCACTGTGCAGAGCCCCCGGCGATGGCTGCAGCCCCAGCCTCCCTGCCACCCCTGGCTCCCAGGTCCTTGTCTGGTCATGTGTTGACTGGGTACTCACCACTGCCCGCATTCACACGTTTTTGTCATGTTATGTTATTGATACATACATGCACACTGCTACTTTGCTAAGTTTGTGGGGGTTGACTGCACGAGACTTGCTCAGTGGCCGCTGTGTCCAGTGGCTCTGTCCCTGTCACAGGCCGTCTTTGCACAGTTGTTTCTAAGCACAAGGTGTCCACTTCCCGTCAGGTGGGCACTGGTGCCAGGTGTGCTGGTGCACCACACCGTCAGGTCTGGGCCCTGTCAGTGGACAGTGCCGCATGCCCATGACATGTGTGGACACACAGTCACATACACATCACGGGCACACGTGAGGAGTCCTCCCCCGATGCTGTGTCCGAGACTCGCTCCCAGCATCAGCGTGTTGACGGCTTTGCCTGGTGTAAATGTGTGTTCAGGGCTTCCAGTGTCGTCTTGCGGGCAACCACAGAAAGCAAACCCGCCAGACAAGGCGAGGCTTGTGGTTCTTCACGCCTGCCCACGATGGGACACAGACACCGCGTGCCCAGTTCCTAGGGTTGCTTCCTGCTGGCGCTCGCCCTAGGAGGCAGCCGGGGACAGCTCAGTACTTGGGACCCTGCCAGCCATGTGGGAAACCTGGACTGAATTCTGGGCTCCTGGATTTGGCTCAGCCCAGCCTGTGTGTTGCAGGCATTTGGGGAAATGAACTAGTGGGTGAAGATCTGTCTCTTTGGGTCTTTCTGCCTTTCAAATGAAATAAAAAATAAATAGAAATTTAACAAAACAGGCCAGAACTGTGGCATAGTGGGTAAAGCCACCACCTGCAGTGCCAGCATCCCATATGGACGCCGGTTTGAGACCCAGCTGCTCAACTCCTGATCCAGCTCTCTGCTATGGCCTGGGAAAGCAGCAGCAGATGGCCCAATGGCCGGCACCGTGGCTCAATACGCTAATCCTCCACCTTGCGGTGCCGGCACACCAGGTTCTAGTCCAGGTCGGGGTGTCGGATTCTGTCCCAGTTGCCCCTCTTAGACCAGGCCAGCTCTCTGCTATGGCCCGGGAGTGCAGTGGAGGATGGCCCAAGTGCTTGGGCCCTGCACCCCATGGGAGACCAGGAGAAGCACCTGGCTCATGGCTTTGGATCAGCGCGGTGTGCCGGCCGTGGCAGCCATTGGAGGGTGAACCAACGGCAAAGACCTTTCTGTCTCTCTCACTCACTGTCTAACTCTGCCTGTCAAAAAAAAAAAAAAAAAAAAAAAAAAAAAAAGAAGAAGAAGAAGATGGCCCAAGTCCTTGGGTCCCTGTGCCCACGTGGGAGACAAGAAGATCCTGGCTTCTGGCTTCGGACTGGCGCAGCTCCGGCCAATGCGGCCATCTGGGGAGTGAACCAGTGGATGGAGGACCTCTCTCTCTTTCTCTCTGCCTGTCCTCCTCTCTGTGTGTAACTCAGGTAAAAAAATAAATCTTTAAAGAAATTAAAACAGGTTCGTTCTCATTTTGATTCCACCATTTTTCACCTGCAGAGGGGGCTGCATCGCTGTCATGGCTGCAACTGCCTGATACAGGCTGGTGGGGGTGGGTTGCTTCAGCTCATGGTCTCGGGGGCTCACAGTCCACGTGGCCGCAGAGGATGGCAGTGGTAGAGCTTGTGTGGAGCAACAGTTGTGGGGAGAGGGAGGCGGGAGCATATAGCAGGAAGCAGAGGGGCTGGGCCCGATTTGCTGTTAGTACCTGCCCTCAGGCCCCAGTGAGCGGGGACCTCCCCTGGCCAGGCACGTCACATGTTCCCACCATGCGGCCACGTTGGCCCCGCGTCAGTCTTTAAAAAGCCATGAGAGCATTTGGTGGACAGGCCACTCTGTTCGTTGTGGCAGTGGCCATGTTGGCTGTTGGAGCTCGCTCTGTGTCCAGTGTGCATTTTGTACCTCAGTGAGGCTGTTGTGAGAAGATCACTCTGTGTGAGGGTCTCTTCCTGGCCTGTTCCATGGATCAGTCTGGGCACCAACACCATCCTTCCCTGATTGTGTCTGCGGGTTCGTCCTGAAGGCGGGGCATGTAAGTCCCCACGCCAGCCAGCTTTTGCTGAATTGGTCTGTCTCCCCTGCGATTCTCTGCATTCCTGTCATTTCTGGAATCAACTGTGACGGCACTGATTTATGCATCAAGTTTAGAAGGATCAGTGTTTTACCAAGGCTTCTAATCCATGAACATAGTATTTCTCTCCATATACTTGGATCTTTTAAACTTTCCTTCAGAATGTTTTGTGGTTTTCAGTGAACAGCTCCTGCACACCTGCTGTCAGATTCACCGTAAATGTTTCATATTCTTGATGCTGCCGGAATCGGTACTTTGCAGCACAGCTTTCGGGCTCGTGTGTGGACGGCAGCTCTGCTGCCTCACTCAGGAGTTGCAGGAGCTCCCGGAGGGCACAGAAGCCTCTGTACAGATGGTCTCGCCACTGGACAGACCACTCCTTCCTTCCCACCTCTTCCTGGCAAGAGTGGCCACCACCACCCTGGAGAGGCGGCAGAGGGGTCACCCTCTCCTTCACCACCACTCACACTATATGGTGAACTACCTAGGCTGGTTTTTTTTTTTTTAATTTATTTTTAAAAAAGATTTCTTAATTTTTAAAATATTTATTTCATTTTAATTACTTGAAAGGCAGAGCAACAGAGAGATGTTACGTTTACTAGCTCATTCCCCAAAAGACCCCAAGAGCCAGGGCTGGGCCAGGCTGAAGCCAGGGACTTGGAACTTCATCTGGTCTCCCTCATGGGTAGCAAGAGCCCAAGCACTTGGGTCATCTGCTGCTGCCTTTCCAGCCGTGTTGGCAGGGGCCGCATCAGAAGCAGAGTGCCCAGGATTCAAATTGGTGCCCCCAAGTGGGGTGCTGACATCACCAGCAGCAGCTTAGCTCACTGCACAACACTACCCCTAGGCTGGGCACTTGATACATTTCACACGCACAGGTTTGGAGGCTAAAGGCCCAAACAGCTTGAGTGCCAGCCCTGGCACTCCCTCACTGCATTCCCCAGCAGATGGCATCACAGTGCCAGCAAGTACAACAGAGACCACATGTGTCCTCTAGGTCCACCCAGGCTACACCGTGTCAGCACCTCCTTTTTAGGGTGAGTGGAGGAGCTGGTGCTGTTTTGCATGACTGATAAAGCCGCCACCTGTGGTGCTGTCATCCCATATGGGCACTGGTTCAAGCCCTGGCTGCCCCACTTCCATCCAGCTCCCTTCTGATGTGCCTGAGAAAAGCAGTGGAGGATGACCCAAGTGCTTGAACCCCTGAACCCACATGGGAGATGTGAAGAGTCTCTTGGCTTTGGCCTGGTGCAGCCCCAGTTATTGTGGCCAGTTGGGGAGTGAACCAGCAGATGGAAGATCTGTCTCCCTCTGGCCTCCCATTTGGGGTGCAGGAGCCCAAACACTTGGACCACCTTCCACTGCTTTCCCCAGGCCATTAACAGGGAGCCGGATCAGAAGTGGAGCAACTGGTACTCCAACTGGTGCCCATATGGGATGTCAGCATCACAGGCGGTGGCTTTGCCTCCTACGCCACAGCACCAGCTCCTCCTTTTCAGTTTCTTCAATGACCCAGTGGTCATTCAGTAGCATGTTTTCTTAATTCCCAGGTACTTATGAATGTGCTCTTGTTCTTGTTGATTTCTAGTTTTGCTCCTTTATGTACTGAAAAGACCTGTGGTATGATTTCAGCCTTCTTAAATTTGCCGAGACGTGACTTGTGGCCTAATATGTGGTCTAGCCTGGAAAATGTTCCATGTGCTCAATGTGATCCTGTAGCAGCTGGGCGAAGCGTCCTGTATGTGTCTGTTAGGTCCACTTACTCGAGTGTTTCAAGTCTGATGTATCTTGATTGCTTTTCTGTTGGATGACCTGGCATTGAGTGGGGTGTTGAAGTGAGCCACTATTAATGTCCTGGAGTCTGTCTCTCCTTTATGTCTAATAGTATTTGCTGTATATCTGGGTGGTCTTGTGATGAGTGCATACATATATTTATGATTGTTATGTCTTCTTGCTGAATGGAACCTTGGATCAAAACATAATGTCCCTATCTCTTTTTATGGTTTTCAATTTAAAGTCTGTTTTATCTGTGACCAGGTTCACTATGCTGGTGAAAAAGTCATATCAAGATGGCCACTGAGGTGAAAAGGTCATGCCAAGATGGCCACTGACAACAGAAACTGCCTGGCAACAGGCCATGATTAGATGGCTTCAGAAACCACATGACAACAGAGCCTGACTGATGGCAGGCTGTGATTGGATGGTTTCAGAAACTGCCTGGCAACAAGAGCCTGACTGGCAACAGGCTGTAATTGGATGGCTTTGGAAACTGCCTGGCAAGAGGCTGTGATTGGTTGGGGCATAGACCACCCCTTGACCGGATTGGCTGGTCTTGGTTATATAAGCTGTTGTACTTTCTGAAATAAATGAGTGTGGGCTGCTCACCTCAGGCCTGCTTTCATGACTCCCGGGGTCTGTGTGGTGACTCCGCGCCCCTTGCCCCCACCAAGCTCCTCCTCTCAGAAACGAATCCACTGCAACACTGTTGAGAAATCAACTGCAACATACGCCTGCTCGCTTTTGGTGTTCATTTTCCTGGTTCATCTTTTTCCAGCCCTTCACCCTCGTCTGTGTGTATCTGTGTGAAGTGAGTTTCTTGTAGGCATCTTGTAGGGAGGCCTTGAGTT